TGAGCAGAGAGCACAGAATTCACCCAAACTTCTGGCAACAGAGTTGAGTATTGTTGTTTTAAGCTAGTAGATTTGTGGCAGTTTGTAACACAGCACTAGAAAACTAATATAACAACGTTATTATTAATTTGACTTTTTAAAAAAGCATACTTGTAAATTATGGAAAATTTAGCATGAAGACATTGGCAAATTGATTTTTTTTTTTAATCTGAATAACTGAAATTCAACAGCAGTAGAAGGTAGACCCTAGAGAAAGGGAATTAGAATGAGAGTTGCTATTAAATTAGATGCTGGCCAAGGATCTATTCCTTAGCTTCATATTTCTGGTAGGTGGAGCATAATAATGAGAAAGTCCATCCAATGCAAATCCGTTCTGTAGGGAATTTAAAATGCCTCTCTTTGACGCCATGCCACAGTGTGTTTTAATTATCAGTGTGACCTCACTTCGGTTTCTATATATCAAGCCTTTGCTCCTTGACCTTTTATTTAAATGAGTGTTATAAAGAGGTTTCCAGAGCAAGGAAGTACACACAAATATAACAGACTCTGAAAAAGATCCCATCTCCTCAGTTCACTTTCTCAACAATACCAAGTAGCTGAGACAAACTTGCGGCCAAAGAAACAATTATTATGGTTATATTTATGCAGGCGGAAGGTTTCAAAGTTCTAGTCACAATTTTAAGGTGAAAAGTTCAAGAATAAATAGTTAACAGGGCATTCACTGAGTTTCAAGCAGCGACAAAAACACAGAACCTTATGACATCCAAACAGGGAATGTGGTACCTTTTCGATTCTGTTTTCCTGAGATTTCTTAAAATAGATGGTGGGGATCCCGAGCTCAGAGGCAGCGATCCACTGCAGAGTGGCTCGAAGCTCAGCGTCAGGACACTCTGGCTCCAGGTCAAAGTTGATCACCAGCAGGCTCCTCTGGCGGCTGGCAGCTCCCACGGGCATTCCAGGGGCATTTTCTGAGCACAGACACAAGCGCAGCCTTACTATGCTTTCCGGGGGGGAAGACCACAGGCAAATTGTGTCTCAAAATTACGGGAATGTGGCTTACCCTCTATGTTTTCTGACTGTCCTCTAAGAATCTCCTTTTCTTCTACTAATTCACTTTGGGAGAAAACAACAGTATATGGTTGATAATGTTTAGGAAGAATAAGCTGTAAATGGAAGATGAAGCGATGGGTCTTATTGATCTATAAGCTTCTGGAGTTTCATATATTTATCATTTTTTTTGTAGAATAAAGTGTTACTAGGGAAATAACAACATGGCTATTATATAGGACTACGAGATCTGTAATAAATAACCCTGCCCCTAAAAGAAGGACATATAAACTGCATGGTTTTAGTTGGGATAATGGATGTGGGAGACGCTAAGAAATGCCCTCTCTTTTTCTCAACCTCCCTTCCATAAACCTCCACGAGTTTGAACAGTCAAGGAAGGACTTTGTAAGAAACTAGGTATGATTTGAGGACCTAGCCTTCTCCTGTATTTTACGTGTCATTTAAAGGACCAAATATTTCTTTCTTGATACAGTGATTTTTTTTTCTATACTATGATAGCAACATAAATTTGCATTTTAGTTGAGGAAAATATTTTTCTACATATATATGGTTCTTTGACGTGAAATAAGGGAAAAGAGAATCTCAAACTTTAGAACTTAAGTTGTACAACAAAATATCTCAGTTGAAAATGTTCTTTTTCTTTCTTTTTATTGGGAAGATGTAGTAGGCTGGGAGTGGTTTAGAACCAGAGACGCAACTGAAGTGAGAATTTCGTTAAATATAGTCACATTCAATATCTGAGGCGTTTTCATATAATGACTACTTAATAGGGAGCCTTATAAATAGAGAGAGGACTCAGTAAATGCTTCTAAAATGAGAGTATATGGCCCAACAGCTGAAAGGGAGTTACCACCTCGGGGAGCCCATGGCTGTCCTGTATTTTCGTCCTGTCTAGAAATTAAAATGCAGGTGCTCTTGAATATACACCTTTTTATGGGAGAGGATTCTCCCTTATACTCTCTGTTATGACTAAGATCTAGCTAACACATTCCATTATATTTCTCACGTCGAGAGAGATTATAATTGTTCTTTCATGCACACCCAATTATTTGTAGAAAAACGGCAATTTCTCAAGGGTCTGACTTTTCTGCCAGACCTCTATCTGAGTGACATCAGTGAAATGAAATGGGGTAGATACAGTTTCTGCTTCATGGAGCTGCTAGTTGCCAATATGGGTGGAAGCTGTCTTAGTTTTTTCCTGAATACATGTAGTCTGTGCAGTCCTAGGCTCATATTGGGGGAAATAATGGACAAAATAGCTAAACAAATGTTTCCTGAAGGAGAAAAGTTAATTTACCCCCGAAGAAGTTTTTGTTTGTTTTGTTCCCTTTAAAAAACAAAACAAAACAAAAACCCCAAGATAATGTGTATGTTTGTCTCTGCGTGTGAATGATGGACGGTTGTGTGGAGTAAAGGATGCATGGCAACCTTTAATCAGTGATAAATATTCCCGCAGGCAGGACACCTGATTAAATAGTGAAATAAAAATGCCTTAGCTGTAGAGAGTGATTGAAAAAACAGGTCAGGGAGCAACTTTAGGCCTATACTTCATTTTTCTGAAATTTCTGAAATCTCCAAATAGTAAGCCAAGTCATAATGGTCAAAAATAGATTTCAGTGTATTTAATTTTCCAGAGCAATGACAAATTCTAGATGTCGTCCTGACCTCGAGTTGCCCTCCCTTTATGCATCACATTTTATGCCATGAAATTGTAGTTTTTCCCTTGGTCTTTTCAGAAGGGCCTCACATTGTGGGGAGTGGATGTAAAAATGACACATCCTTATCATGGCACCATTTGGCATTTGACATTTTAGTGGCGATAATCCCAGGTGTTTACAAGTAAGGGACAAGCCGTTCACACTCTACTCTATTGAACAATAGTCTTTGCTGGTTGGCATGATACAATTCACAGGGATGTTTGCTCCTCTGTGTCCAGCTAGGTAAAGTGATATATGTGTCTGGTTATATGCATGAGCTTTATCCAAAATGATTATACCATAGGGGGCAGATTTGCAATCAAGAAAGCAGGTGGAGGTAGGGTGGGGCGCTGCAAGCCTGAGTTCTTACTCCAGCGACATGAAACCACACATGCCTGGGAACCACGGCAGCACAGACACGATGAAACCAGTGGCTGGGCACAGCCTGAATGATCAAAATGGATTGCCAGATGGAACTGGAGTCGTGGTCTCACAAGCACTGCATCTCAGTGGCTACTTACTTAATCATGGGAGAAGATGGCATGCTTTCCTGATAAGTGTCCAGGTCCATAATGCCAAGACTGCTAGTGGCACTGCTGTTGCCATTGCTGACAAAGCAAAAGTTTACACATTAATGCGGGTCTGCACCACCTGGCCGCACTGCGGCACTGATGCTCCGCCGTTCTCAGAGGTCCTTTCTTTGGTCCCCAGAAGAATGCTGTTTTGTGTCAAGGGCTCCTAAACTGATATTTATTTCTGGCCAAATCAGGGGAAAACACAGCAAAAGACATTTATGGCTCATGCCAATCATTATCATCATCATCGTCATTTGGCATTTCTGCAGTGGAATCATACCTGGGGCAGGTCACACCTAGTGGATCACAACCCTTCCTCCGCCATTCTACTAACAGATAGGATGTTTATCTGTCAGCAAGAGACTCCTTGGATGTACCTGCAGAGACTAAGAAACTTGTGAGAATGCTGACTGTGGGGAGATATGGTCATGCTTATCTGCCTGCTTCCTGGCTTTTTATAGAAACCAGTTCATGCAGGTTCTGTTATCCCTTTGCCATTCAGGGGATTTTTCTGAGGGACATTCCATTGGATATGCATTTGGCTTACTTCTTTTTCCTAAGGGACCACAGGATTTACAAGTACAAAGTTGGCCAATGCCAAGTTTTATAGCCCCTTTATCTTAAAATCTCTGAGGAGGAGCAACACCTTGTACTTCAGGTGTTGCGGAGAAGGGATCACATATTGCATCATTTTTGTAGGTTGCACAATCCACATATGGTCTAGTTACTAGCTTGGAATTTATTTACTAAAACACAGTAAAGTTGAGCCCATATTTAGGCTCTGTCCGTACTTGCAAAATGGAATGCATCCAACTTCACCAAGCTCACTGAGTTTCCTCATACCCTATCTATTTTCCAGTGACATCTTTTGCAAGTAAGGTTTTCAAATGGTGAGTGCTGGAGTATCGCATAATGGGACAGCCTTCCTTGAGGAGTTCCATGAATAAGCAACTAAACCCCCTCATTTCAAATTCCTGTCTTGGGTTTCGCGTGGGGTACTGAATGTATTCACTGATTGAATTCTGATAATGCAAATGTTGCGCTGGAGCTAATTAACTGTATAAGCTTATGCGAAGTCCAAAGATTCAAATTTTCTTTGCTTTTTGTCTCTATATCAAAACATTTCCCACCAGTTTTTGAAATGTTAGATAAATTGTTTAACAATGTGAGATTCTCCTAAGCAGACTGAACTACCAGAAATAAAACTTTCAGGGAGCCACACACCCAGATGCATCTGAAGCCCATTTTCCAATTGGCTTTGGAAAGTCTGCGGACTTGTTGCTCCAGTATCAGATGAAATTTCGGGCAGAAATGTGAAGATTCTTTTCATTTTCACCTCAGACAGGAATAGTGTTTAGTGGGTGTCTCCTGATTGGCTCAGGTCCTCCCAAATCTGATCTGTCTTTAGCCATTCTCTAGCTTTTCTGGGGAAACAATACAGAGGCAGGGCAGGGGATGAGGAGGAACAGCCAGGCCAAACAACGCAACGCGGTGTGGAAACACTTGCCTCATGTAAACCCAGCCTGTCTTGCATCTGAAATACAAATGAATCAGAAAGTATCAAATGAACCAGAAAGTATCAAACACACCGGGTGTAATAGCAGCTCTTATTAAAAGTTCACAGTTGTCCTCACTGAATGCACTAGTTGGAACTTGCAGAGAAGAGACCATATCTGACTCGGAACCTTGGTCAAGGTAACTGAAGCCAAGGCTGATATTAAGATAGCTCTCAGCACAGATCATGACAGGCCGTCACTTCGTCCTAGTGGGAGCTTTCCTTTTTTGCTCTCTCTGTTAGCGACCCTTTACAGAGAACAATTTAAAATGCATTTCTGGAATCTGGGTTGAGACCTGTTTCCCTGCTAAGTCAGTTAAAGAGCAGGTACCTCATGGATCGCTCACTGAGCTGCAGGAAGCTGCTCGTGTCATCTGGGTTGTCCTCCTCATTGGCGAGCTGGGACCAGCTGTCCGTGCTGTCCCCACTGCTGCCGGGAGGGTTGGGGACCTCTTCGGGGGCTCTGCCTTCTGTTGAGACTTCCGCCTCTGGTGCATCTCTGGCATCAAGGCTGTCACTGTAGGTGGTAAGATATTACTAAGAGTGCAGGCACAAAACACACTTCTTCAGGGGAACCTCACTGGATACTCTGCTGAGCATGAATCTCCGCCACAGTGAGGGGTGTCTTAGGACACAGGTGGAATCTTCCTTTAAGGCTAATCCTTCTGCTGGTGTCCTATGTCCCATTTCGCCTTTTCAGGATTACTATCAGCTTTCCCACCTCTTCATTTGATCTCTTTCTGCTGACTCCCTCCATTCATTTAAAAAACACATTGAAGCAACACTGGCCTGCATACATAGAATTATTGGGGGGCAGTGCTGTTTAAAATAAAGACACCCAGAGCATCCTCCCCTAAGATTATGATTCAGTGGTTCTGCAGGGAGGGCCAGAAACCTGCATTTTAAACAACCACCCCAGGGAATTCCAATACAAATTGTATGTGGACCACACTAGAAGAACAAGGTCCACCCCAGTTCTAGTGGTTTACCAAACCATTTTGTCTGTAAATGCTTCTAAACACATTTTGCACTTGCAGTCATCTTTCTACCCTATCCTCTCCCTCTGAAACCTCTGACTTTTCTGCATTAGCACTTTTTAGATCAAGCAGCTCTCAAGAGCATTCAACCCTTGATCTGACAAGCTTTTCTCCTTGAAGCCTTCCCTCCCTGGCCTCCTATGAATTTCTGTCTTTCTGGACACTCCTTGCCTGGAACCTGGTTCTCGGCTTTTCCTTTAAATGTAGCTACAGACAGCTCAGATGGATTCACTGCCCTCCTTTCCAGGCTGTCCCTGAACTGGCTCATCTATTCTCCTGTCTGTGAAAATAGGGTCCAAATCTGAACTCCAGGCAGGGTCCCTCTTCTTGTTTCTGGGGCTCTTTGTTTTTTTTTTCAGTTGGTTTTCTGAGCATATCCAATCTGTCTCATTGACACCTCAAACTCAATTTATATAAAACAAATTCTAATTGCCATCCCATCCTCTTCCTGTCTTTCTTTCTTCCATTGACTTTTCTGAGTGTCTGGGTTTAAAATCTTGTAGAAGAAGTCTGATTCCTCCTTGACCTTTACATTTAATCATTTGCTATGTGTTTTTCAGCTCCACCTCTAAAATATCTCTCACATACGTATCTCTGTCTCTGCTCATGAAAGTATCTTAATTTAGGTCCTTCTAAATTTCTAGAATTTAGATTTGGAAGGAACCTCACATATTTCCTGTAGATTAGGACGCAGAAACCCAGTGAGGTGGAATGAGTCATCTGAAGTTGCAACAAGAGTTGGTCCCACACATCAGATCTCGAGTTTTGAGAGTCTTGGGCGCTGAAACTTGACTTCTTGCCCAGACTATATTGAATTGGCCTCCTGACAGTTGAGCCCCAACTATTCCTCCTCTTTCAAAACCTCCTTCACACGGCTGCCAGGTTTCTGTTAATTGATGTTCCCAAGACACATCTTTGTCCTTTCTTGTCAAAAACCTTCAGGACCTTCCTAAAGCTGAACTCTTGCCTTCACGGACTTCCCCCGCCTCTCCAGCTTTATCTGTCTCAACTCTAATCATTACTTAGTAAACTAGACTATCTTTCATTCCTCAAATGTGCCAGAAATGTCCTGTTCCTGGTCTTTGCCCTGTTGCTTCCTCTGACCAAATGCTGGAGACCGGGGTGCTCTGAGCGCTGCCCCTGCAGGCCAGTGCTGCAGCTTCTGGTGCCACTGCGTGTCACCTTCTCACCCTGGGCAAGTTAATACACTTCCTGTGGAAAATAAGAATACTTACCTCATGAGGGTTTTAAGAAGAAATAAATTAGAAAATAAAATCATTTCATGTACTTAGTGCTTCGTATACAACTGTATACACTATATCCTTTATTAGTAAATTCTATAATTCATTAAGAATCATAAGTTTAATAACATCCTTTCCTGATCTTTGCTTCTGAACCATCTCTCAGCGGAAGATGCTTACTTCTTACCCGCCCTCAGCCAAGATGCTCGCACCTTCCTGAGGTCATCCTTAATCTCCCTGACTCGGGCCGTGTCTTTCTTTTGAATGAACAAAGCAATTTATCCATTTTCCTTTCCTTTCGATAGCACTTAAAACTTTCTAGTTTGCACTCTTGTATAAATACCACACATTATTAAGAGTTTTTATACTTTTTATATACTTGGAGTAGATCTGTGGACACATCAAATAGTTTTCAGAAAAATATGTTATTGTTGAAAGTGTTTAGCATCATAATCATACCCACGCTCTCAATTAGATAGCTCTGCCATTAAGTCTGAAACAGAAAAAAACAGATGTTACACGACCTGCAAGCCAACAGCCTTCTGAATGACTATGGTGTGGAGGCTTGGCCGTTTCTATCACACTCTACTGCTAACATTCAGGGAAAGCAGGTTCTCAATAAGCTTGACTTTCCATTTGTTTGTCGGGCTCAGTTACACACACACACTCACACGCACGTGAACATGGTCTGCATCAGGGATCACACTACTTCGTTACTCACAGCACAGCTTGCATTATTAGCTCCCTGTGCCCCAGTGCCCTCCTGCACACAGCGTATGTAGGGGGGTTTGCATCGCAGGAGAGGAACCTCAAAATTATGATGCTTTTGCCTCTCCTTTTCTCCAGGGAGAGAGAGGAGAGAGAGAGAGACATAGGTGGAGGAGAGAGAACTTTACTCTAAATTATAAACAAATTCAAATCTCCTTTTCAGAGGAGAGAAGACATCACCACCCTGGGATGTAAACAAGTAGCTCCAGGCATATTCCCCTGGAAGTCTCTATCTTTAGGCTTAGTATTCAGTCTTCAATCCAAATGCCAGTTCTCTTTGCTCAGGAACCCAAGTGTACAGAAACGTGAACAGATTCATGGAAACTTTTCTCCTAGGCTCGACAAAAACTAACCATATGGAAGAGAAGGCCATAATGACAGCAAACAGAAAGCAAGAGTGTATTTCTTCAATGAAAAATATGGTAACTCGGTGAGTGGACACTGGAATGCTGTCCTCAGCCCTTGTGCGCTGGCCGTAGAGAATACTGGCTGCTGCCAGTGCACAGCGAGGACTGTCCTCAGGCCGGGAGTTGCCAGCCCGCAGTGAGCATCCCTGTGGCCAGCTGGTACAGATCCAAAAGCCCAGTCCTTGCCTCAGTTTGCACTGAACCTAACAGACCGTCCCTGCTGCAGGGTTTCCTAGAGGATGCGCTGTGCTGCTCTTGGTTGCAAACGCATTTAGGGAAACCGTCTCCCTCTGTCCAGTCTTGCCTTTCCCGCCCCCTTACACATGGATGTGCACTTCTCTCCTGAGAGCAGTACTTAGATTGGTATCTGCCTGCAACTCTCCCCTCAAGATCTGTTTCCAAAAAATACAGCTTAAGACAATTGATCATTTTTGATGCTGCAGAAAACTCTACTTAATTTTCCTCAGTCTTAGGATGAATGCTGTTATCCTTTCTTCAAAAATGGTTGTACTTTTTAATTTTCAAAATGAGTTCTTGCATAGAGTGTAGAGTTTCAATTGAATAATTTGGGGGATGTGATTAAATATCTCCTCTTTGACATGTGAGCTTCTTACCTAGCTAATTTCACACAAGGCTTTAGACTCTTGTCCCTAAGATTCCTCCTCACAGCATCTGGAAAAGTGTGGTATTGGGGTCTGGCTGTTTCTAGCTTGATCTGTTGCTAACGTTTGGTTAAAACTGATACTTAATAGGCTTGATTTTTCTTTCAAAAGTGTTGAGATCTTTCTAAATTGAGCAGAGAGGAAGGGGGAGAATAGATGCAGCCAAAGAAACATTAACTGAATTTACTTAAATTCAAGTGAAGTCCATTGATGACAAATGGAAACAATATACATATTCCCCAAAGTGGAAAAGAGCTAAGAACTGAGCACAAAGGAGAGGACTCCGAAAGCGTATCTTTGCTTAGTTAAAAAATAATTTCCTGGACTAGTTCCTTACTGAATTAGGACCTTAAATTCATTCCAGGATATTTCTTACTAAAGCAGAAGTTAAATCCCAGTGACTGACACTGAACACCCAGGTTAAAAATGAGTCTGTCGGTATATTTTATTTTATCTCAATTTCATACTCTGTTTATAGCAAATCTCATATCTAATGTTAAATAACTGGGGATTCAGAACGAATAATGATTATATCTACAAACTTAGTTTCTATTTTCTTTTGAGAGAAAATTATAGCTCTGCTCATTTATTTATGAATAATGCACAGATGTGTTATGCAGACGTATGTGGTTGGCTTTTTTTCCACTTCTGCTTTTACAGTTCGCGCACAGTGCTTCAAAGGACCATATCTGACATGGTGTCAAATTAAATTGTAGAATTTCTGACTTGGCAGGGATCTCAGAGACTGTCTAGCTCAGTGTTCCCCTAACTTCATTTACTAGAAAAACCACTGTCATAATTTTTGCCATATTTGCATCACCTTGTATAATAATAATAATAATAATAATAATAATAATAATAATAATAATTTTTTTAAATTATGTAACCTAAATATGTTTATTTTAAAAAGAAAATTGAGTCATTACTCTAAATAGAGAACAGGAATCACTTGCCATACACAGATAGTATCAACACAAATATTTAACTCTAAGAAAAGTCCTTTTCCAGCAGGTCGTGTAGTTGTTTAGTTACCATATAAAGTTCGTTGAAAGGGGAAATCATGACAATTAAACATACACGTCCTAAGTATTTTAATTTTAAATGCATAACATTTACTTATGCAACAACCAATAGACTAAAAAAAAGCTTTTGGTTTTATTGATTTTCTCTCTTATTTTCAATTTTTGCAATTGTTGACTTCTGCTCTGATTTTTGTTATTTCCTTCATTATATTACTTTGGGTTTAATTTGACTATCTTTTCTTAGTTTTTTAAGGAGAAGTTCAGATCATTAATGTTAGACCGTCCCTTTTTTAAAAAAAAGAAACATTTAAGGGTATAAATTTCTTTCAGTATTTCTTTAACTGTGTCCACAAATTTTGTTATGCTGCATTTTCATTTTC